TGCGGCACGCAGACCCTAAAGCACACGGGCTTCAGTAGTTGTGGCGTGTGGGCTCAGTAGTTGCAGCGCACGGGCTCTAGGGTGAGCAGGTTTCAGTAGTTGTTGTGCTCGAGCTCAGTAGTTGTGGCTCGTGGGCTCTAGAGCACAGGCTCACTAGTTGTGGCGCACGGGCTTAGTTGCTGCGCAGCATGTGGGATCTTCCTGGACCAGGGCTCAAACCCATGTCCCCTGCATTGGCAGGTGGATTCTTACCACTGCACCACTGGGGAAGTCCTACAATACCTTTTACTGGTTGCAGCTACCAGCATTTACAAAATTTGGGTTTGAGAAACTTTCTTGAGGAAATAAATTCAGGAAGAGTTAACAACAGGTTGTGGAGGTTTTATTCCTACACCAAGGGTCATGAACCCTTAAGCAAACAACAGTTATCAAAGGACATTAAGACAGTTTTCAGAAACAGGAGACACATCTATTAGCATTTTGTTTATTGGACTAAAATGCATGTGGACAAAGCAATATCAATGTGTGTAAGTCGTGTACAAAACTTTGACAGTCACCATATGATAGCAGAGCTGTTTCACCATCTATAGGTGAGTGGCTTAGAGACTAAAAACAAAGGGGTAGAGAAGAACAGATATGTCTTTTATAAGGTTAAAGAGGAGTGTGTGACATTAGTCTCTTAGTTATATTTTTGTTTAGACTGCTCATGGATCCATTATTCATTCATTTACTCAACAAATTTATGGAATGCATCTTATCTGGATAATGTTAAACACTGAGAAAGTAGCAGTATTTAAGTTCCTTGCCTTTACATAGCATGTATAGCTAATGGGAAATGGCAGTGTTAAATAAATAAACAAATAAATAAAACATTGATATGTAGTATGAAGGAAATAAGCAAGATAATGTAGCCACCCAATAAACAGTAGCCTGACCAGTCTTGTTTTTTTTGTTTTTAGCATAAAAAGCATATTAAACGTAATATGTTTTTCATTTATTTATTTGTCTAATTATTTGTATTCTGTCTCCTTCTGAACTGTAAATGCTGTTAGATCAGGGACCTAGTCTTATTTTCTGCTGTTTCTTAAGCGTGAGGATGCTGCCCAGTATATAGGGAACACACAGTAAATACTTGTTCAATACCTTTGTTGATTGAGTAAGTGAACATGATAGAGAGAAACTGACAGAGACCCTGTGCAAGACCCAGAAAGCATTTATTTGTGTTTGTATTGCATTTGTTTTTAAAATTCTTTACTTTTCTAAGCTAACATATTTTTTTAGGGGAGGAATTTTTCAGGTAGAGAAGGTGTGGAAAAATAAAAACTTAAAAAGATGTAGGTTAGGTGTTTGACCAAACCGTTCTGATTTCTCTTTACTGCTAGATATGGCATTTGCTTTTAAAATTTATGATTGATTTATGATTTTAAAAATGCTTATTAAAAATTGCAAAACAAAATTGTAAGACTATCTTTTAAAACAAATAGCTATGAAGAATCAGGGAACTCAGTTCCTTTAAGTTCAGTGATCTATTTTCTTTTCAAAATTTTAAGAAACTGGCTGGCCTGCTGAAAGCACAGTTTTGCATTTAAAATCATCTGAAATATAGTCATAAAGCCTTTTTTTAAACTTGTAGGATATAAAATCGTTTTCCTTTGCTTTCTGTTTTATCGCTTAGCTTTAAGTATTTACTTTAAATCGATAAGAAAATTTGAATTCCCTAAGAGAAAAATGAGCAAAAGACAGAACAATAAACTGTTACAATAAATGAATAAATTTTAAAAACAAAGAGAAAGAATATAAAGAAACACAAAGAGCCAGAAAGCAAATAGAAGACTGTTCTATTCTTTAGCAATCAAGGAATTGCAAATAAAATAATGTTAGCATGCTTTGCATACCAACTTGGAAAGAGACAGTTTGAGGAAACAGGAAGTCACGCACTGTTACTGTGAATATAAACTGTTTTAACCTTTCTATGAGCAATATGACAAAGTGAATTAGAAGCCTCAAAAATATATTTGCCTTTGACCTATTAATTTCACTTCTGAGAATATATGTTAATGAAATAAGGAAGTATATATGACTATTTTGCCATAAAGATAATTAGATGAAGTGCTATTTAAGGTAGCAAAGTATTATACATCATTTAAGGGTCCAATAGGAGCAAAATAAAGTTATAGCATTTTATTTCAACCCAAGATAATAGTATTTGGACATTAAAACTATTTTCCACAATTTTATTTAGTGACATGGAAAGATGCTGAAGATGTATTAAAGGGAAAAGAAGCAAATTAAAAAATAATTGTTACAGTGTTGTGTAAAAATATTTACCTATTTTCGAGAAAGGGAGACAGAGACTGAGATAGGAAAAATGAAGTCTACACAGATGTGTTTGTAGTGGGTGAGTAGATTGTGCCTGCTTTTAAATATTTTTCTTATTTGTTCATGGTAAACAACTTTCCTGTGGTGAACACACAAGCTTCTATGTTAAAGTGTGTGTGCTTTATTTAAAATGTAAAGATCGATAGTTTTGCTTTAAAGTTTCCCTGAGGAAACCAATAAAATTATAGACAAAGGGCATGAATAGGCAGTTTGTATAAGGAGACACCTCGTTGGCTATCCTGGATGTGAAGAGACGCTTGAACTCATAGGTGATAGAAGAAATGCAACATACCACTTTGTACCCACTGGATTGGCCACAAAAGTAGAAATTTGGTGAGAAAGAGGGGAAATAGAATTCTGGTCAGAGTATAGATTGACATGACCCATTATAGGAAGTGAGTCTGAGGGCCATTCTGGAGAGCACATCTCAGTAGGTTTTTCTGAATTTAACCAGCAATCCAGGTCCCAGTAATAAGGAGTTATTTTAAAAACACAAAAAATCAAACTGACTTTGTTTTATTATGGATTATTATGAACTTATTATTATTATTTTATTTATTATTATTATTGGCCATGCCACGCGGCTTACACGATCTCGGTTCCTCAACCAGGGATCCACCGGGGCCCCAGCAGTGAAAGTGCTGAGTCCCAACCACTGGACCGCCAGGGAATTCCCCTAAACTTATTGATATTATTACTATGGACTTTGTTTTATTATTATTTGTGTTATGGATAGAAAAATCAAATAGGAGTCCTGCTTCTCCCAGCCTAATTCACATGAACAAAATGAGTTGTATTAGTAAGAGAAGGTAATTAAAATCTTGGTAAAGGATCACGTGAATTTAGATTTTGTGATAAATGAGGAGGAAATGATCTAAAAATGATCAGATATGTGAATTTTAGGAAAGCAGACTTCAAAATCTTACAGCATTAACATAGAGAACTTGCTGAAGCCTCAAGAAGCCACCAGCCCTGGAGTGATAGGGCCACTTAGAACACAGGTTGAGGAAATGCCCATTTGGCCAGAAACATGTCAAATTTTGTAGACAATGAACACTTAATACTGGAAGTCAATCATAATAACTCATCCTAACTCAGAGAGAAACATATTCAAAAAGATTTTATAAACAAAAAGACCTCCAATATCATTAGTATTGAACCTTCCTCTGGCCCCCATTGTGGGGCTGGAGTGTGATGACACAGAAGTGTGCAGGGTCTAATTGTAAAGCATATGATGGGTCATGGTGTAAGTTTTAGCCTTAAAAAATTAATAAAAGCACACGATTAGAGTTTTCATTTTAGAAAAATAATTATGAAAGTTTAGAAAGAAAGAACATATGTGATTAGGTGATCAAGTTGTGAATGAACCAGACCTCAAAGAAAAGCAGATGGGCCTTACCATCCTGCCAGCCAAGCAGGACATGGCCAGTGTTTACTTAGTACACAAGGGATGGAGTGGAGGTAGGATGTCATATCCAAGGAGGCCAAGAGTAGGGGAAAAATCTAGATGGTAAGCATGAGCTAAAAACCTCAGGAAGTAGTGAGGATTAAGCTACTAGGAACGTCGTGTCTAGACCTGAAGACCAACTAAGGCAGTGACAGTGGAGACAGAGGAATATCACAGTGTTGTCTGTGGTACCAGAGAGCTGGAGACCACTGAAGGGTCCATCTCTGGGGAGAGGGGATAAGTAAATTGTAGTTGGTGGTCACCACTAAATTCTATGCAACCACAGCTAGGATTTAGGCTTACAACCAGCAACGTGGATACGTCTGAAAAGGCCCATAGCGAGGGCTGCCAGATAAAATACAGGGTGCCCAGTTAAATTTGAATTTCTGTTAAACAACAAATACTTTTTTAGAGTATGATCCAAATATTTGCTAAATCTGGCAACCCTAGTCACAGTACGGCACAATTTGTGAAAATGAAAACTATGTACACAGGCAAATCAACCCATCTTATTTCATAAGGATACAGAGCAAACATGTTGATAGCTATTGTGTTTGGGGGTGGGGGATAGAGAGAATAAAAAGGAATAAATAAATGTTACATAAATAAAGAAATAAGAGAGGGCCTTGAGGGGACAGGTGGTGGTAATGAGCTGAGTACGATTGACTCAATTCTCTGTACCTAAATCGAAAACGAAGTAAAAAATAAGTTTTTCTGCACTCTTGGATTTCTTCACTGAAGCCCCGGAGACCCTGCCCGGCTGATAAAGAGAATATTCTGTCCTATGAAACGATCCCTATGGAATACTCTGGCACTGCCGGCCAAATTCAGTGGCAGAAAAGTGAGTAGGAGAGGGACTAGGTAGGTGGTTCCTCTGGAACCTGGTCAGGAGGAAGAAATTTATAAACCGAGTTAAAAAGGAAACTAATGAACAAATCAGTTAGGAACATTGCTTCACCTAGGTTTACTCTTTTAATAGAGGAACACGCTTACATTCTTATAGAGTAAATATTAGTAAAAGATTATCAGCAAGCACAAATTCTGAACTGTTGCCATGGAGACAGACAGAAGAATAGGCCAAGTTGCCATTTCCCCACTGGAAAAATGATAATTCAATACATGTCGCCCAGTAACGCTGATTCTTTTACTACCTTTTTCTTTTTTCATGTCACAGCTGATTACAAGGAGAGCTTTAATACGATTGGCAACATTGAAGAGATTGCGTATAACGCTGTCTCCTTCACCTGGGACGTGAATGAAGAAGCTAAGGTGAGTGTGAAGGTAGCACTGATTCATTGGTCGCACCTGTTAAATACCGTGTCCTTTCTCTGCAGAGGATTCTTTTACAAGAGCCTCTGAGTAGGGGAAGATCTGTTAACTTGAGCCAGAAAAAAGGGAAATGAACCTATGATCTTTCTCTTGAGTCGCACACATTCAATTACGCGCAGCTAAATTGCCTTTTGTGGAGCAAGGAGAGAGGGGGTGTACCTGTTCCCCTGTGGCCTCCCGCTGAACGGGCCAGGCCCCTTGTCCCTCCCAGATCGTCCAGGCCCCCAAGCTCCATTTTAGCACTTGGGGCTGACAGGACTGGGCCAGAAAAATCTTTTCTGCCTGCACTGCAGTCTCCCCAAACACCTCTCCAACTGCTGCCTTCTTCAGAGGCAGGAAGGTGCTCAGAGCGACTGTCTGCACAGGTAAGCAGCTGGGCAAGCCTCCCGACCCCCGGCCCCTGTGAGGCTTCATCTGGTCAAGGGAGGGTGCAGGAAGCAGGGCTGCAGGGCTCTGAACTTGACTCCCTGAGGAAGAGCCACCACCGTGACCTTGAGCCATTTCTTTCCTGTTAACCTCAAGCTTAAGCTTTTCTTATTTCTGTCTGGTGCCAGCATGGTTAAGAAGGGCAACAGTAAAATCTCTGGCCAGGTGCATCCTGAGGCCAGATGTCCACCGTTGCATGGATTCGGGTGAAAAAGTGAGGCTTGAGGATACTCAGATTTGCTTTCCAACCATGAGTCTCTGAGTTTATGAAAACTGAACTTTGCTGCTATGCCCGCTCTTCTTCCTGTGTTCTGTACCTTCTGATTCTCGATCCTTATTTTGCACCAAAGGGAAGGTTCCAGGTGAACCCTAAGCTCGTTTTCTGCTTCGGTTATGTACCATCTAGGAGGGCGTTAGAAGACTTTGTCTTGGAATTAATGAAAAGGTCAATGTAAACAACTACTTTCAATGCTTCATTGTCTGTAAGCAGGGGAAGGCCAGGTGAGAAAGGAAACTGGATGGGAGTTTGTGGGCCTGACTTAGAGAAGAAGATGAATTGCTCAGTGTCTCATTTCACTCAGGTATAAAACAAAGTAAATGAAATTGGCTTTAGGCCCAAGAAAGGTGACCTAAATGGGCAAGCAGAAACAGAGCTCCATAGTAGCTGGGAGAATGTTCCAGTGGGTCAGTGCATCTGAGGGAAGGCAGGAGGCCTTGTGATGTGATGGGCACAGAAGTGCAGGAAAACCTTCTCCTCGAGGCCCCACTCCACCTCCGTTTAAAGTTCCTCACCCAAGCCCCAGGCTTTCTCCTCGTGCCCCCTTCTCTTCTCCCAGAGGCTAGATTACTGGGCTGGGTAAGGAAAAGGCAGTGTGTGCCATGGTATCAGGGCCCAGGGTTGGAATCCTGGCAAGTCAGCTGACCTCTCTGGGCCTCAGTTCGCTCATGTAAAGCAAAACAAAACAAAACAAAACAAAACAAACTTTTCCGATTGTCCCTGCTGTACCAAGCATGTGCTGGGAGCACGATGTGTGAAACTCCAGTCTCCGAGGGAGGTAAGGGAATCATTAGCGGGACAGCAGTGTGTGTGAGGAGTGAGAGGCAGGCCCAAGCAGAGCCATCCATTGGGAAGACAATGGGATCCTATACTTGGAAGTGCCTTGTCAAGGTAAAGCAAGCTGTAACTGCAGCCCTAAATTTCCTTATCATGCAGTCTGATAACACGTGCTAGAAGGTGAATGTGTTAACTGTTACCAGTCAATAAGGACCTTTTAATTAAAGAAAATGCCTGAACCTGAAGGGACATCTTGAATGATGGCGGCTCTGTGGTCAACCAGTGAGGTAGTTAATTGGGGGTTGGGTTGACTTTTCTTGCATTTCCCATAGGTAAGGCTCACTTTTCTTGTTGAAATATGTATGTTTGTGCACGTGTATTGTTCCAGGCTGACACATTTAAGGTCACATCTGCTTTGACAAATGGCAGTGCTTGCTTGTTGTAGCAAAACTTGTTTCTTTAATACATATTTTCAGTAACTATTATTTGGTAGTTGTAATTGTGAGCAGTTTGGGTTAATCGATGAGTAATAAAAATAGCTCCAAATACTTCTGCCAAACTACTGGAAGAGCTTTTAAAGAAAAACCGTAGAAGTTAAATCCATTTCATTAGGTAGGCTGAGAAGATTTTTTTTTTTTTCAACCTGCAGGATGTAAGGTTTTTCTTTAAAATGTCATTGATTTTGGGCTTCCCTGGTGGCGCAGTGGTTGAGAGTCCGCCTGCCGATGCAAGGGACACGGGTTCGTGCCCTGGTCCGGGAAGATCCCACATGCCACGGAGCGGCTGGGCCCGTGAGCCATGGCCGCTGAGCCTGCGCGTCCAGAACCTGTGCTCCGCAACGGGAGAGGCCACAACAGTGAGAGGCCCGTGTACCGCAAAAAAAAAAAAAAAAAAAAAAAACCTATCATTGATTTTATAATAAGCAGGCTGCAAAAAAACCCAAAATTACATGATTGGGAAAAAGGTTTTCAACAAAGCAAGGCATAAAATCCTCTCATGGGGGATTGTTTGTGATTTTCTTACTGTGAACTTATTCTCGGGAGCAGTTGCATTTGACTTCGAGTTCCTCTTGGTAACATCCACACAGAAATCTGTTGCAGGCTTTAGGATTGCGACATTCATTCAGTGTCACATGTTGTTCTAGTTCATGTGGCCAGAGGACACAAATTTGTGACCCGCAGCCTTATATATTCCACAGAACGTATATGTACGAGTGTATCCTGCATTTATGTACTTATATTCCAAGTTTTAAAATATTTTGCCCACATTTAATAATCAGGAGATTCAAGAAACAAACAAAACAAAAACCTAAGTTTCCAGATTCTTTTGGGTAATTAGAGATTCTGGCAACATGAGCCCGAGTGTTTGCAAGCCCACGAGTAGCTCTTGTGAGGTACCAGCTGTTCTCTTTAATGCTTTCTCTAGCCTTCTCCATCGTGGAACTTTCCTTGCCTGGTCCTCGTGGACACTTGAAGTTTCACGCCCCAGTCGCACCCCCTCAGACAACTGAATATGCCGTGTACATCTTTACTGGCTCTCGGTGTTGGGGAAAGCAGTGACACAAGGGAGGTTGACGCCGTGTGGCTGAGAGGAATGGGCCAGTCAGGAACCCCACCAACCTCCCCGGGTTCCTTTGGCAACGGGCCACACAGAGGCTAACTTGTGTTGGTGCCGTTACAGAGAGCTGCTGCGCCCTTCTTTGTTTGAAAGAAAGGTAGTAAATCTTGATCTTTGAGGATATTTTCTAAAAAATCAGAAACCACTTGGGTCCAAATGTGAGTGTGTACCAACAAGTTGGATAATATGACTTCAGGGGTAAAAATAATGTATAGCTTTTGGCACAAGACCAGCTTTGAAGTGGGTAATATCCCGAGAGACACTACGAATATACTTTGAGCCATGGCAGTATCATTTGAGAGATCTGTGTGTCTTCCCAAGATAGCTTCTATTTGGATATTTGGTTTTGGTGCATTTATTAAAAAAATAAAACAATCCCGTATTTGTTAGTCTTCCCACATATGCATCATCAAGGCCTGATGACAAAATTTATGGATTTTTCCAGGACACTACTCTTTTCTTTTGCTGCTGACCTATATTCTATTCTTAGCTCTTGTTTAGCAGGAACAGAAGAAAGGAAAGAACGTGAAACTCTAATCATTTAGTTTAATTTAATTACAGGGAAAGTTTGGCCAGGGAAGGTGTTAATAGAACCTAGGGGCAGGACAGGAATAAAGACGCAGATGTAGAGAATGGACTTGAGGATATGGGGAGGGGGAAGGCTAAGCTGGGACGAAGTGAGAGAGTGGCATGGACATATATGCACTACCAAATGTAAAATAAATAGCTAGTGGGAAGCTGCCGCATAGCACAGGGAGATCAGTTTGGTGCTTTGTGACCACCTAGAGGGGTGGGATAGGGAGGGTGGGAGGGAGGGAGACGCAAGAGGGAGGAGATATGGGGATATATGTATATGTATAGCTGATTCACTTTGTTATACAGCAGAAACTAAGACACCATTGTAAAGCAATTATACTCCAATAAAGGTGTTAAAAAAGAAAATGAGGTTACGGGATTAACTGCAGATCGCCAGTCTCAAGGGCAGCACGGTTCTGGCAGAACTACTGCAGACTTCTTCCTCCCAGAACCGGTTTTGCTGGTTGTGCTGCAGCGTCTCTGCACAATGACGCCCGCAGCAGAAAGAGTCTCCGGCAGGACATTCGTTTCCCCTCAGGGTCTGTGCAGTCTGGAAGCTCCTGTAACTTGAACCGGGGTCCCTGGGCCCCTGGGAATGACTCAGGTGGCATCCAGGTGGGTGAGGCTCTGAGCGTCCATGCTGGTGGAAGCTTGGAAGTTGATGAGGTTGGGGCACAGGGTGACAGAGAAAACAAAGCGCTGAAATGGGGCTCAGGCAACCAGGTATCGTCCCGGCGCGGGAATAGCCAGCTTTGCGTCTTCCCCCTTCTGAGCTTCAGTTTCTCAGCTGGAAAATGGCGGGAAGCGGAACAGGGAGGGGCTGACAAAGTATTAAGGTCCCATCCGTAAGATTCTAGTGGGAGCACCAGAGGGCTGCATTCTTTCACATGACTCCCACTTACAAGGTCATTTCGATTTCTCTTTCTCCCCTCAGCCAAACGCAGGTACCCACAAAGTAGATCTGTTGGTCACTAATCCCCGAGATGAGAAGTTCCCAGGCAAGCCCCTATTGAATTATTGAAGGGTGGTGAGCTCAGATTCCTGGCACCGAGCGCCGGTGATGACATCACCCCCAAAGCGGGAGCACACAAACCCTAATTATAGGCTCCCCTTTCTCCCCGATTTCTAAGGAGATTCTTGAAACCAGGCCCCTTATTTGTGTCCAGAGCCTTTTTCTCTGTTCGCAGTGATTTCAAGATTAAACCAACCTCGACGTGCTACAAAGGCCTCTCTCATGTGACCACAGAGAATTACTTGAGCATTAAGATACTACTTAGTGCTCTGAGGAACGAGTTTCTTTTTTGTGTCTTTTCACTGGAACACCATACCAATTTCCCCCTATTTCTATGCCTCACCCTTCTCGTGGTTTATAGACTACCTGAGATGAAGGAGGCCTATTTCCATGAACCCTCTGCTGCTAAGCCTTTCGGAATGATCTTGAGTCAGTGAAATGTTCCTTTTCCCTCACTACCAGCACTGCGAAATAATCAAGCAAACAAGTAAATCCACTCCTAACCCATTCCCCTGTCTCTATGATTTAAAAAGAAAATGTGTTATATTTCAGTTATATGGAGCTCTGTCTGCCCTGTGTTACTCTTTGCTGTGGTCTAGCCCAGCACCTCTGCTTGCGGAAGCGCAGTGACTGCGCTCTGGAGGGATGCCTACCCTCCCGCCCCACCCGCCCCCAACTCTCTCTCTTGAGTTGCAGGAGGGGCTTCGAGAGAGGAGCTGTCAGGCCCTCTGCTTTGCAAGATCAGGTGGGAAACGTTCTTCCTGCGTTTTGGTATTTGGGAGGAACTTTCAGACCAGAAGTTGTTGCAGTTTTAGAGTCAAGGACACAGATAAGGCATATTTTCATCCCTGTTAACAGATTTTTGTGGTGAAACTGGGGGTGGGCAGGGCTGAAAACTGGTTGGGGTGAGGTGGGAAGTAGAGAGGCTGAGAGACACCATGGATCATTTTCCTGTGCATCTCAGATTCTGATTCCACTAAATATCAACTTTCTTCATAGCAGGCTCTGCAAGATTGGGCAAGTGGAAAAGGTGGACTTTGAACCATGTCCCTCTGAGTCCAGAGTCCATGTTCTTAAACCATCCCAACAGAGGATATCTGTAATTTTTTTTAGACCAAAGAATGCTATGACTTTCCTTCTCAAAGAGATGTATAGGGTACAACCTAGAAAGGAAGAAATCAAATGAATCTCATTTCCTTGAGCAAAGCAATTCTATCAAGTCACCCTGATTTTGCCCCCCATCTCCCCCATCCCCACCAACAAAGATGGGCCCACTGACCCAACACTTCCAGCACAAAGGTCTCTTCCTATCCATGTCTTTGGTTGCCCTGGTACATTCCCGGTTGATGTCATACATATTATTGACCAGAATGCATAGGGGAGTGAGGACTGTTTGGATCCCTTGCCCTCTTCAACTGAGTGTGTGTGTATTAGCCTAACATTAGTGATCTCATTGGCCTAATTATGACCTCGCTCTGTGTTAATTGAAGATCAGTGCATGCTTTCTAATAGTGCAGCTCTGAGGCATAGCAGCGTTTTCTCCTCCATACCTTACACATTTATTCTCCATTTTCCCCACTTCTCTCTAGCTCCTTTCCCTGGTATCCTGAATTTCATTTTCCCACTCATTTACATTATTTCTGTACACTTTTATGCTTTGGTTTTTTCCTGTTATGAACAATGAAGACTGCTCCTTACTCTTTTTTGCCATACCATGTAGGAAGCACAGCATGAAAAAATTCGAAGCAAGGATGACAGTTATTATTCGAGAAAATGGAGGTTGCAGAAGGTACACAGTGGCTCCCTGCTTTACGTTTGCAACTTAAGAAATACAGTAAATGAAAACCCATATTTACCAAGCTGGTAAATTGGAAGTAAACATTTACACATAAGCAATATTTATTTTATATTTAGATTCCTCTCACTTTGGATCCCTTTGGATGCTATAAATGAATTGCATTTACAAAAGAGATTTTCATGTAATTTTTTTTATTGCAGTATAGTTGATTTACAGTGTTTGTTAGTTTCTGGTGTACAGCGCAGTGATTCAGTTTCCATGTAATTTTTTAAATTGAGAGAAAATGCCAGATGAGAGGATGCATGTTGATATTCCCTCTAGGCCCTATTTCCCTTAATATTTTTGCCTATTTTTGCCTCTGTGTCTGATTTTGCACTAATACCAAGGAGATGTCATTTGAGAACTGAGACCCAGGCTGAGGGATGGAAACATGGATGTGCTAAGAGGAATCAGCTGGCTGAGCAGGAAAGCAAAAGTGAAAGTTGGGAGTAAAAAGTTCTCTTCCAGATTTGCAATTCTATCCTTAAGGAAGAAAATGAAGTTGATTGAATGCCCCAGCACTGCCCTGCAGCTGTCCTGGACATAAGGGCATTTGATGGGGCCCGTGTCATGAATTGCTTCATATTGTGAGACATAAATAAAGCTCTCATATCGGGTGACTTACTTCTGTCATGTTAAGTCCAGGTTTCTTCCTTTTCTTCCTGTGTGGTTCAGCCCGTTCTCTTCCCAGTGCTGTCTTTTCAAGGTACAACAAGTGGTCAGCAAGCCAAACCTAGCTCTTTACTCTATCAGTTGCTAAGGGGTAGGAAACAGCCCCTCAGTCCTCAGATGTCAATGTTAGTAGCTTCAAAGACAGGATGGTGCAAATGGCAGTGCTTTGATCACAGCCTATGTAAAGGCAGTAAACTAGAGAAAATGTAAGTGTTCTAACCTTCTTGTACCCTGTAAATTATTCAGTCTGTCTTTGTGGAAAATATGTTAATGCTCATTGAAAGACTGTTTTGACATTTAGTACCAAATCACAGCAGAACCATTAAAATTGTCCCAAATTTATCTCACCCTCCTTCCTTTTCTCTCTCCCTCAACATTTCTTTTCGGTCTAAAAGATTTAATCAGTTTTTATGGGGCTCCACTGTGTGTCAAGCAAAGTGCTTTAGAAAGTTACAGTTTCGTTAGTCTTGACGAATCACGGCTTCCAAGGGGATGCTTCTAAATGGGCTGTATTCTCTTTCTGCCAAACTCCAGTGTTGGTCACCAGGGAGAAGGGGAGATGCGTAAATATTGATTTTCAAGATGAAAAGAGTACCCAAAGGACCGGCCAAAGGAAGCCATACTCCTGAGTGCCCTGTGGGTTCATGACGTAGTTTGTTTCCCTGACCTCCACCTCCCATCAGCAGTCCAGGGAGTCCACTTTCTGCTTACAAGACCGTCCAGGATGCAGTGGAGTTGATGGATATTACTGATAGAGAAGAAGTTATATCCTAATGTTTGGACTAAATAGAGCCCAGGTTTCAGCAGGTCATCATATGGCAGAATAGAGAATATTATAGGGCATCTTCCATGCTCTCCAGAGTAAAGAAGGGGTGGGGAAGGCTCCTGGGAGGGGTCTTGAAAGGTTGAGATACACACCGCAAAGCAGGGCAAATGGCATTTTTATGTGTTTGCTGGGGCGTGGTGTGGGTGAAGGAAGCTTTAAAAGGGAAAGGTAAACATTTGCTGGAGTCTTTGGTATTGAACTTAAAGCCACGCCTTTGCTCCAGTTTTATAAGGTAATGGATGGCAGGAAAAGCTATAAAGCTGGAGTTAATTCATATATAGAAGGAATAATCTTTGGAAACCATCTCATCCAAGCTACCTACGGCTTGATCTTTTGTTAGAATGTGGAGTATCCATGGTTTCTGGCCTGAATTCTGCTGAGGGCTCTGTAACTCACATGTATCAACTGTTGTGTGTATACAGAGACTGAGATCGCATACTTGGATTTCATAGACTGTGTGTGTGTGTGTGTGTGTGTGTGTGTGTGTGTGTGTGTGTGTGTGCGCGTGCGTGCGTGCGTGTGTGTACCATGGCTAGTATTTATTCAGTGATTACCATATACCAGGCACTCTGCCAGGTGCTTTATATACCTTATGCACTATTCATACTTTAAGTGGATATCATTTTTCATTTAAATAATGGAGAGGTTGAAGTCCAGAGAGCTTATACAGCGAATGCACAGCAGAGCTGGGATTCCCACCCTGGGAATGTCTGTCTGAAGCATGTGCTCTTTCCATAGTGCCTTTTCGTCTTGGGAGAAGGTAGTCGTAGTATCTTCTGTATTATCTGTGGCAAAGGCACAGTCATCCCCTCCAAGCAGCTTGCCTGCTGTACATCACGTGCTGGGCCAGGCAGTGGGAATTTACAGACACACCAGCCAAGCAGAGTGTCTGCCGCTCTCAGAGGACATTTTGGCTGGGCCGAGAACTCAGACATATCTGTAAATGACTGTAATATGAGGAAGAAAGTGACAAAGACTGTAATGAAAACAGAATTAAAGGGCCAGGAGAGTTCTGGAGAGGGAGATAGCCCTGTTTTTTATTTTATTTTATTTTTTTAATCACAACATAAAAAGATTTATCTTCTTGAGCACAAATAAGCATCCACCTACTAGATTAGTAGCCCGGAGCTTTTTGGTAACTTTATTTTTTTAAACCATTTTTTAAATTGAAGTATAGTTGATTTACCATGTTGTGTTAGTTTCAGGTGTACAGCAAAGTGATTCAGTTATATATATTTTTTCAGATTCTTTTCCATTATAGGTTATTAGAAGATATATAACTCCCTGTGTTATACAGTAGGTCCTTGTAGGTTATCTATTTTATATATAGTAGCGTGTATATGTTAATCCCAAACTCCTAATTCATCCCTCCCCTGCCCCCCACCCCGCCCCCGCTCTGCCATCCCCTTTGGTAACCATAAGTTTGTTTTTCATGTCTGTGAGTCTATTTCGATTTTGTAAATAAGTTCATTTTTTAATTTGTTTTTATTTTTAGAAAACATTTCTATTAAGTTTTCTATTTAAAAAAATTTTCCCAATTTCTTGTGTAAAAAATTGCAAATGAAAAGTTGAAAGAATAATACAGTTCTTACCACATACCCTTCACCTAGATTGACTCATTGTCAGTCTTTTGCCAGATTTGCTTTCTCTTCTCTCTCTCTCTCTCTCTCTCTCTCTCTCTCTCTCTCTCTCTCTCTC